CTCCCCCCCCCTTCCCTCCGCTCCCGTCAGCAACGAGAAGTGCCACGAGCACTACACCACTGAGTTCCTCTACAACCTCTACTCCTCCGAGGGCAAAGGCATCTTCGACTGCAGGATCAACGTCCTGGGCCACCTCCAGCAGGTATGGGGTGGGACAGGGCCGTACGGGCCACCACTGTCCTCAAGGGCCGGGCAAGCTCAACGTTGCCATTTCTGTGCACCCAGGGAGGAGCCCCAACCCCCTTTGACCGGAACTATGGGACCAAGCTGGGGGTGAAGGCGGTGCTGTGGATGTCAGAGAAGCTGCAGGAGGTCTACCGCAAGGGTGAGACGAGGACTGGGGGGGGTCTCATGGTGGGGTGGGGGGAGGCTGGTGGCACCAGGCTCAGCCACTCGGCCCTTGGTGAGGTGGCCACGGTTGGTTGTGTCCCCCTCGCAGGGCGGGTGTTTGCCAACTCGGGAGACTCCGCCTGCGTGATCGGGCTGAGGAAGAAGGTGGTGGCCTTCAGCCCTGTGACGGAGCTCAAGAAAGTCACTGATTTCGAGTAAGTCCCTGTCCGCACACCCTGCCAGGTCCTGGGACACCTTCTCAGGTTGTCCCTGGGGGGCCACTTTAGTGCTGTGTCCCCTCCTTGCAGGCACAGGCTGCCCCAGGAGCAGTGGTGGCTGAACCTGCGGCTGATGCTGAAGATGCTGGCCAACTACCAGATCAGCCTGACCGAGTACATCTCGGGGACGATGGAGCACGTCACCCGCCGCACGCTCAGCATCGAGAAGGGCTTCTAGTTCTGCCAGCCTGAGCCATAGCTCCCCCTCCGCATCCTCTCCATCCCCACATGCTGCTCGGGGAGCATCGGGTCCCCCCCATTCTCAGTAGCCTCGTAGCTTTGCCACCGACCCCATAAAGCGGGCAGAGCCTGGTCTTGGCTCCCAAAATGGCACAATCCTGCCCCAAATCACTGGTCCAGGGGTGCAGATGCAGAAAGGAGGGGTTGCGAGAGCCCAGCTGCACAGCCCAGACCCTTAAACATCCCTTAATAGTTTATTCCTATTATTTAATGATGGGCTATCTCGATTCCTTACTTAGCGGCTTGACCGCCTGCTGCTTTTAGTTGTGTGTGGGAGAGGAGACAGGAGGATGCGGTGCCATCTCAGAGTGGGGAAGGGGTGGTCCCGGGGGGGTCTTGGCTGCCCCGGGAGCCGTGGTAAAGCTCCATCCTCCTTCAGCGTGTGTGCGTTGGGGTGTCTCGAGCACAGAGCATCGGTCCCGACAAGCCCCCCTCTTCCCCAGCCACCTTGCATGATGCTTGGCTGCCACCATCACCATGCGGCCCTGGGGGCCATGCCCATCATCTCACCGCTGCTCTCCCAAATCTCGTATGTTTGCGGTGCTGCTCTCCTCTAGAGTTAAACCCCGCTGGAGCCAATCCTGCCGCGCCGGAGAGTGGTCATTGTGCGCTGCGTCCCTGCAGGGGGGAACAGGGGGGCAGAGCTGGGGTTAGGATGGGGATGAGCAAAGCCAGGCACTTTGCCAGAGCCGGATTAGTGCCAGGTCAGGATTTCTCCTTGTTCTGTGCATCCTCAAAGCCTGGGAGTGTGGGACTGGCGGGTGCAAGGTCAGCGTCCCTCCACGGGCAGACTTTGCAATCCCAGAGAAAAATTGCTTCTCCCTCGCCTTGGTTCCCACCTTCAAAGCCAGCGCAGCAGTGATTGATGGAGGGGCCATGTCTGTTTGCTGAGGCAGTTTCTCAGGGCAGCTGCCAAGCATGTGCCGGCTCCTGCGTGCAGCGCTGGGGTTTGGCCGGGCTCCGGCACACTCAGCTGATGCCAGACGGCCACTCGTAGCCCCTTTCCCAGGCTACTTTCCTCCTGGGGCTTTCGGCTGACAGCTCCAGCCTCTGGGCCGTGGCCAGCACCGGGGTGCATCATGGGCTTTTGGGTCGAACATGCAGCTATTTATTTCCTCAGGCATCAAGTCCCCTTTGATTTTAGCACATTTCCCCAGCTGGCCCCTGTTTTAGGCTCTGGAGAAAGATGGAAATTATTGACTTCCCTGGACATGCAGAGAAAGAGCAGAGCTCAGTGACAGAGGCAGCATCGCTGCTGTCCCCGGGTGAGGATCTCTCTGGGGACCCCAGGCAGGGGCCTGGCTGCTCCTGCCAGTGCTGGGAAGGTTGTGGGTGGGAAATGGGCTTTTCCACCATTCCCTGTGCTGCTTTCACTGATCCTCGACTCGCCGCTGTCCTCTGAGTCCCCATGAATGCTTTGAACGTGAGTTGTGCTGGATCTGTGCCCAGCTACTGGCGTTTGCCACCACCGTGAAATGTCTGCCCCTCGTTTTCACCCAAAAAAGCCCCACCCTGGAGTACCAAATTCCAGGGGGGGGCACCAACGTGGTGGGGCACAAAGCCATGAGTGTCTCAGCTGTGCTGAGAGCAAGTGGGATGCTGCAGGGTCACTGCGAGGAGCGATGGGGAGCAGCGAGGGCAGCTCGCCTGGCAGCCGCAGCACCCAGCACCAGCCAAGCATGACAAGCACGGCACGTAGGCAGTGAGCTCCGGTCGGGAACAGTCGTGCCGTCGGGGATTAACAGCCCAACTTCTCCGGCGAAGGGAGGAACCGTGCCAGAGGAGCCACAGGCCACGGCGATTGCTCCATCAGCCGCCCTCACCGCAAACTGAGCCCCAATGACAAATGCTGACACTCGCTGACACTTGCTTTGATCACCCTTCTCCCAGCAAAGCTGGGGAGGGTGGCACACCCTAACAGCAGCTCCCCGGCTCCCTGACGTGGACAGACGCCACTTCTGCCACCGAGCAGACTGCTGAGACAGCCTGGGAGAGGACTTGCCCCCGGCACAAGGGCAAGATGCAAACAAGATGACGGGTAAGTCTCTTGGGCCCTGGCTGTCACAGGGAGTCTGCTGTATTATAAATCACACCAGCTACTTAAACACAGCTGGGTTTAATGCAAGAGGCAAGAACGAGATCATTTGAGGAGTTAAAGGCAGCAGCAGTCTTCACTCAAGTGATGAGAGTCAAACTGGGACCCTCTTCCCACCAAGCTCAAGTAAACAGGCTGGGGGACACTAGGCAGTCACCATTCCGGTGGGGCATCTCTTCCCAGCAGCATGGCTGGAACACTCACACAAACAGGGAGAGTGGGGACACAGAGAGGAAGCCAGCGCTGGGGTCCGCACCCGAGCAGCACGAAGGGCTCACGTCTCATGTCCCGGGGCCACTGTCCTGCCCCGGGGTGGGCTTTGCACCTCTGCACGTGCCAGCAAGCTCTGCTCACCACCTCCAGCTCAGTGGGGATGTGCGGCTGCAAGGGGGTTCCCAAACAGTGCAGCGCGTTCAAAAAGCAGCCCCTGCAACAGCTCGGCACAGGAATCAAACCAGCACCAGAGGCGGACAAGCCGTTTCCAGGCCCAGTGAAGCGGGAGGGTGCGGGGCCCTCCTCCTGCTCCACAGGGCCCACAATGCGAGCCCTGAACCGGACATAATGGAGCAATGCCCGGAGCCAGGCGTTCACGCTGCGTTTGCTGAGCCCCCGTCACAACTTAGGCATCCTGGAGGGCCCTATAACTGGTTTTATTTGGTATGTCACAACGATTTAGTTTGTATTTAATGGCTCTTTAAAATCTTAGTAAATGCAGCTTCTTCGGTTAAAGACAAACACCACCCCTGATGCTTGTGCAAATCGGCAACGCTTGGCTTGTCTTCTCACTGCAAGGCGCACGGGAGGTTTTGAACTCTGACGTTCGGTTTCCTTAAGCGGCTCTAATGCCTGCGGGGGCATGGGGGGGTGACAGCAGAGCTAAGCGTACCGGATCTGGGAGAGTCATTTCTGTTTCACCTAGGCTGCACCGACCTTTTCTTCGGGCCGCCTGACCGCCAAGTCAGATGCTGCACACGCCAAGGAGGACCGGGAGAAGTCAGGAGTTGAAGATAAACTAAGGATTTGACATTGACCTTCATAATCTGCACCAGACAGTTCGTGGTGATCATTTCAGGCAGTGTGTCTCAGACAGACTCCACAAGAAAAACGTACCTTTTTGGTGGAAACTGCCTTCAGAGCCTGCTGTGCACAAAGAGAGGCTGGCCGAGGGCTAGTCTGACAGGGAGCCATTGACAAGCAGTGACCTTCCGAGCCATCAGCGAGCTTTGCCGTCCCCCTTCGATCGCACAGCACAGCAGCACCGCTTTCTGCAGCCCTGCTCACGTCTGCTTTGCCGACTCCCCCGCAGCTCCCATCAAACAGCCCCAGTGGCAGGGAATAGAAATGTCCAGGGAGCCAGCTACGCCAGCAGGAAAGGGCCAGGTTTGGGTGCCACCAGCCCCAGGGCAATGTCAGGAGCTCCAGGGGCAGCCAGCAGCACCCCTGGTGCTGCAGGGGGGGTTGTAACAAGGCACCGTCACTCCTCCTGCAGCTCCTTCTTGTGAAGGTCCTGGAGCCTCCTCCCCACTGTCTGCTGGACGATCTCCAGACCCTCGGCGTCCAGCTCCTTCATGAGAAGCAGGATGGCGTTCAGGACGTTGTTCTGCTGGGACGAGACAGACACTGCTTTATACAAGCACCTTAACCTAGATCAATCTTAACTTGGAGCTGCTCTTTCTAGGAACTCTACCACCTCCACCACTGGCAGCAGTTTGCAACAGCCACCTGCAGCTGCAGGGACAGCTCAACCAAGCCCTGGGGCCAACATGGGCATGTGAGGAGGCTAACTGGAATGCAGGAGAAACCAGTCCGCCCAGTCCCCGCACCACTGCCCACGTGCCTCTGGCTCCCAGCCACCCTCCCAGCTGGCTTCTGCAGGGAAAAGGCACATTCAAGAGCAGCCACCCTCTCTCGCCAGCGTGACCGCGTGTGGGATGGGAAAGGCCAGGAGCCCTCTGGCCCGGGGAATACAACCAAAAGCACAAGCTGGAAGGAACCTTTGAAGGTCCCCAGCCGAACCGGTGGGGCTTGGTGACTACTGCCAATGCCAGACCACAGCTCTGTCAAACCACGGCTTGAAAAACTCCAGGGAGAGATGCCACGGCCTCTCTGAGTAACTCTAGGGAAAAGCTTTTTTCCTAACGTCCATCCTGAGCCTCCCCTTGTTTAATATTTCCTTTTCCCATAGGCCACAGCCTGCAGTACTCCTCATGGTGCTGCAAAGCAATACACACAAGTACTTTTAAAATATGAACGGAAGAGAGATTGCTGGTAACTCATGTCGAAATGTGGCAGAACATGGTCTAGATCTCACCCTGCCGATTGAGGATTGAGGATTGAGCTGGACAGCAGAGAGGTTTACCCGACGCTACACCATGGAGGGGTCTGAGGAACCACCTAAGCTTTCAATTCCCACGCGCCCTGTCCCTGGGTGCCAGAGAGAAGAGCTCAGCACCTCCTCTCTGCATTCCCTCCTCAGGAAGCTGCAGAGAGTGATAAGGTCCCCTCTCAGCCTTCTTTTCTCAAAACTAGACAAGTCCTCAGCAGCTCCTCACAGGACATTCCTTCCAGCCCTGTCACCAGCTTGGCTGCCCTCCTCTGGACACATTCAAGGACCTTCACATCCTTCTGAAATGGTGGGGCCCAGAATTTGGTCTTTAAAAGATACTCACTCTCTTCTTTCGGTTGCAGTCTGTCTCTCGAGGTGAAAAGGAAGAAAATTTATCCCTGGGAACAGGCTTCATACCAAGCTCCTCTCGAATTTTGCTAAAGAAAGGGAGGAAGAGCAAATGTCGCTATAACCATGTGGCCAAACCTTCCTCTGCCAGTCCAATCCCTCCTCATCATGGGCAACCGTGCAAGCAGCATCCAGGTGAAGGACTCAGCGCACATCTGTTTGCACACCACCACCGACAGACCACAGCACCCCAAGCAAAGACCCCACGCGTAGCACGAGCCTCAGAGCACGAGCACATTGCCACAGGGAGTCTCCTCCACCTGGAATGACAGATTCCTACACCCGATGGTAGCTGGGACTGCAGACCAGGTAACGCTGCACCGCAACAACGCGTGCCACGGCGGTGACGCGTGCTGAAGCGCGTCCAGAAGCAGAGCTAAGCAGGAAGGGACTGGAGCTTGCACTTCAGAGAGAAGCCGTCTCCGTCAGCACACGCAGCTGAGACGCTAGAGAGGAAGCGCCCACCTACAAAGAGCCTGTTTTGCAGATACAGAACCGGACCCACAAGCGCAATCAAACCAGCATGGTAACCAGAACAACGGGGATTTGCACCAGCTGCAGGCCTGGCCCATGGAATATCCCATGGCTGGGAGGGTCCTTTCATGCTACACCCAAGTTCAGCCCAGAAATCCCAACAGCTCCCAAGCAAGCCCTCACTTTGTCTCCTCCAGACTGAAGCTCAGCAGTTCGCTCTCGGTCTCCACTGTGGCTTCAGCAGCGCTGGATTCAGCAGCCTCGGGGCAGCCGTTCTCCACGCTCCTCCTGGCCGGTGGGCCCGTGATCTCCTCACCATCAACCAGGGCCTGGGACAGTTCTTCCTCTGTCACAGCTGCAAAAGCCAAAACAAAACCCTGCTGCAATGAAGTCCAGCAGCCCAGGAAGATACAGCATCTGTAATGGGGTACGTACTGCTGCTGTAGAGCTATACCACACAAATTTGGTCCAAAAATTGTCCTGTGTACCAGCCTTTTGCTTTCCTGCTGCAGTAAAACCCGCACAGGAAAACGCCAGCAGCTGTCACCAGTCTCTCAAAGTGGGAAAGATATCAGGGAGGGATGCAAACACTCATTTGTCTTTGGAGAAGGCTCCAAAAGCCACCAAACTACTGCTACCGGGCTGAAAGGCTTCTCTTTTTTTGAATAACAGCAGATCCAATTATAGAATCTTTGTTTTGCCACAGCAAAGGAGAGAGCTCTAAAAAAACCTCTAATTAGTGGTACTGCCTCAGCTATACAGAGGCGCTCTCAGTCGCACTACTGTTAACTCTGCCACTGCTGGGAAGGGAGAAAACAGCTTTGGAGTGGTGGATCTCGCTCAGCCTCTGACAGATCCTGACTCAAGGAAGAGTCAAAGGACACCTTAACGAGAGGAACCAGCAAGCCGCTGGTTTCCAGTTCACTCTGCCCATGGTTTACCTGTTGACCTGCAAACACCCACCTTGGTTATCAAGCTTCTGCAGGCTGGGGAGGTTGCGCAGCACCGTCATTCGGTAGCGGTGGGGGTCGGAGCCACAGCAGGGATTTTCAGACAGCCACAGGACCCTCAGTCGGGGGAGGTTTTTGAGGTAGAAGAGCTCATTTAGGCTGGTAATGTTGTTCTTCCTCAGGTAGAGTTCGCTCAGGTTCTGGCACTGATGCAGCGGCTCGAGGTCCGAGATGCCGTTCACACTGAAGAGAGATGGCAGGATCAGAGACTGGTGAGCCCACCCCTCCCTCACTGTACTGCTCAGGTGGGAGCACAGCAGCCCTTTCCAGCCCCCTTTTCCACAACAGCTTCACTGAGAAGCCTCACCCCGGCGCAGCACGGCAAGGGGCGTTCAGGGGCCTATGGCTTCACGCCGAACAAAAAGGGAGTGTTTCATCTTTCTAAATGGAGGAAAGAATTAAAAAAGCAGGCTCTCCTCTCTGCTGAAGATGACAAACGGCCTCTGCGTCCCACTGTCACACTCCCACTCTTTTCTGTGGCAGTTCCTCAGACTCACTGAAGGAGAAGGAGAGTAAGATTTCCACGCTTAAAAGCTCAAATTCGCAGACAGAATTGGGTCTACGGGATCCCGTGGACAGGTGAAGGCTGAGCGTGTTAGCAGGAGGCTTATGGAAATGAAAAGCTCTGCAAGATCCATGAAGCATCGCAACAAGAAGCATCCTGCAAACTGGCCCAATCATCCCATCTAAACCACAGGACCTAGGGAGCAGCAGTCCTGGAGGTTTTAACACCTCTCAAAACCAGGATTATTTTCTCAGGCAGCAAAGGGAAAGGTGCAGAAGAGCTAGAAGAACAGTAACTTCTGCATCTCTGCTGCTCGAGGAACAAGACATGAAGAGCCAGGCAGCTCAGACACAACCGCAGAGCAGTGGTAAGGAACCATGGGCCAAGGCCCAGCTCCAGCAGAAAGGTGATTCCCTCGGCCCTTGCCACAGCTGGCAGCCTGACATTCACCTGAACGTGATCACCTCGATGTTGGGCAAATCCCGGCATATCGATATCTGGGCAGGGAGAGACAGAAACAGCAGGTTGGCACTTCCAGAAAAAAAAAAAAATAAAAGCAATTGAAATCACAAACAAACAAGACAAAAGCAAGAATAGGAGTTGATGTTTGCTTCAGCCCAGCCCCAGCTTAACACCACCAGAGAGCTTTGCTGCCAGTCAGTGCAGAGTCAGCAGCTCCGCCATCAGCCAGCACCGTTGCTCTTCTGCTCCAGCAACTCTGCAGCCTCCACGCCGGCTTTCAGCCACCGCAGCCAAGAAGGGACCCCCCTGACGGCCCTCTCCTAATGAGTCTGTCATCCCGAGTCCCAAGCAGATCAGGTAGGACTCAGGGTCCTGCTCTCTGGGGTTCTGTGCAGGGCCTCAGAGAGGAATTTTCCAATTTTTTAATGAGATGTTAATCAATCCTGAAAAGCACTGCAGCTCACTGGCACCAGGCCAGCCCAAACCCAGGCCTGCGCCTCCCTTGGTGATCCATCAACATCATCTCCTCCCCACTGCAGGCCAAGGTTTCCCTGCAGCAGCATCATGGTGGTGGGACACTGGCTGGGGCTGGACGATGGCAGCCAGGGGGCCATCCTGGCAGGACGGGAGCGGGCTGTGCCATACGTACATCCCTGTGCCGCACTTGCATCTCTGTGCCGTACTTACATCCGTCAGGCGCCTGCCCCTGTGGGAGAGGAGAGCAGAGGGGGTCACAGGGAGCATGGCAGGGCCCAGCTGCCCACCGGCTGTCCCCACGCCCCGTCCTGTC